GTTAATCCTTCACTGGTTTGTTAAATTAATCATATCTCTATGTAATTTTAAACAAACTAATGAGCATTAGATTCTATGGAAACCTCTAGCTTAAGAAGGGGAGCTACTAACTCTCTTCTCTTCCTCCACTACCACATGTGAGCTAATTACCTTTCGATCTCATAGTCTAGCACACGGTTTATATTATTATTGGTCTAATCTACGCAATTTTTTCTCAAGTTCATGCATAAATCACTAAATCAATTGATAGATGATCAGGCTTCCAATATATTAAATTCAATAATATAAACTCCTCATACGAATAACTTTAATATAAAATCACAAAATTTATATTGAATTGATTAGGTTACATCATAACCTTAATAAAATAAATCAGTTCATAATAAAAAGAATAAAATATGAAATCAAAGTTATGAACATTCAAATATCAAACAATAGATAAAAACCCAAGGAAAAACAAAACCAAATTTGAGAAAATCGAACTCTTTGATATTTTATTATTGATGAAACCTCAACCTTGATCTCCAATAATGCCCAAAAGAGGGTTACCACAAGCCTCCTAAGCTCCCTTAATTCTGAATTTAGATGTGTATTTATAAGATTTTAGAAATCCTAATTAAAATAGAAGTAGGACGTGGAACAGAAATAGGAAACTGAATTTTAGATGCTGATCGCGTTGTGCTGATACTTCGAATCCGATTCTGGACGTTTAACGCATGGTGTCGACACCCCGATCATGTGTCGACACTACACCCGTGTCGGGTTTCTGGTCTCCTTTTGCAATTTCTTCAATGGTAAAATAACAGATTTGGTTCCTGACTTCTGGATTCTGCACAAGTTGATCCTCAAGTCTCTGATCTCTTCAATTTACTTCTAAAAAGTAGGATTTCTTCCAATTAAATCATTTCCTACACAAAAGATGAAAACCATGTAAAATCAAACAAAATCCCATAAAACTCATCCAAATATCAATAATATCAAAGTAAAAATTCTCTATTAATATGCATACAAATTTAGCTAATCAAATATACCATAGTTGGGAATTAAGAAGCGTACCTTCGCTGCTTTTTAGTTGACTTCTCAGTGCTCAAAGCTGGAAGTATGCAGGTGGAGAGATATTAATTTGCTGGAGAAATTAACTAGAGAGATGGAAGAGTAACATAAGAAGAGGATGCGATCGAAAGAGAGAAGCTCTGGATGGTCGATGCTAGATGATGGTAGGAGACGGATGAATTTTTGAGAGAGAATATTTGGCAGGCTTGGTATCAGAGAAAACGCGTGATGATTTCTGATTTCTTACCAA